TCACCCACAGGGGAGGCTTAGATGAAGCTTCTGGCTTCAGCCTCGCTGTTAGGTCTACTTAAGAAGTGAATCAGTGGGGGCCCTGAGGCGTGTCCTAGCAGCTAAAGTCCTCGCCTTGAACACTCCGGGATCCCATATGGGCGCCGGTTCTAATCCCAGCAGCTCCACTTCCCATCCATCTCCCTACTTGTGGCCTGGGAAAGCAGTTGAAGACAGCCCAATGCTTTGGGACCCTGTACCCGTGTGGGAGAAGATCCTGGCTTCGGATCGGCATAGCATCGGCCGTTGCGCTCACTTGGGGAGTGAATCATCGGACAGAAGATCTTCCTCTCTGTCTCTCCTCCTCTCTGTATATCTGACTTTCCAATAAATAAATAAATCTTTTAAAAAAAAGTGAATAAAAGATCCCTCTGTCTTTCCTTCTTTCTCTGTAACTCTTTCAAACAAATAAGTAAGAAGATACTTTTTAAAATGTCTTGTTTACAGCTATCGTATTTCAAACAACACACACACAAAAGCAGAGGGAGGCAGAGAGTACGACACAGTGAGCAAGCTACAGCTTGTAGCACCTCTAGCCCATATCTGAATGCCTGAGGGCAAGTCCTGCGCTGTCCTCTGCCACATCCTGGAGGCAGCAATGATGGCTCAAGGGCTTGGGCCCCTGCCACAGTGTGGGAGACTACACACAGTCACTGGTTCCTGGCTTCGGTCTGGCCCAGTCCTGGATATTGCAGACATTTAGAGAGTGAACCAGTGCATAAATTCTCTCTCTCTCTCTCTCTCTTTCAAATAAATATAAACAAACACAGAGGCTCAGATGGAGCTGTGGACAGCAGATCCAGGTGCACATGGAGGACATGTATATATGCACAGGACACCTGGTACCACAACAGAGGACAGAGGACAGAACAAATCAAGATATATTTATTTATTTTTCTTACAAAGTCAGATATACAGAGAGGAGGAGGAGAGAGAGAGAGGAAAATCTTCCGTCCAATGATTCCCTCCCCAAGTGACCGCAACGGCCAGTGCTGCACCGATCCGAAGCTGGGAACCAGGAACCTCTTCCGGGTCTCCCACATGGGTGCAGGGTCCCAAAGCATTGGGCCATCCTCGACTGCTTTCCCAGGCCACAAGCAGGGAGATGGATGGGAAGTGGAGCTGCCGGGATTAGAACCGGCGACCATATGGGATCCTGGTGTGTTCAAGGCAGCTAGGCCACGCCGCCGGGCCCATATTCTTATCCATTTTCCCATAGCCCTTGACCCTTTGTGTCCTAATCAACTATGTAAAGATTATCAAAATAAAATGATAAATAAATTAATTTTTAAATTATTTTATTGGAAAGTCAGATTTCCAATACAGAGAAGCAGGAGAAGGAGATACTGATAGGATCTTCCATTTGCTGGCTTATTCCCCAAATGGCTGCAGCAGCCAGAGCTGAGTCACGAACCAGGAGCCTCTTCTCAGTCTCTCAAATGGGTGCAGGGACAAGGGTTTGGGTCATCCTCTGCTGCTTTCTCAGGCCACAAGTAGGGAGCTAAAAGGGAAGTGGAGCAGCAAGGATACAAACCGGTGCCCATATGGGATCCTGGTGCATGCAAGGTGAGGACTTTAGCACTAGACTATCACGCTGGGCCCAAACACTTCTTTTTTTTTTTTAAAGATTTATTTTTATTATTTTTTTTTATTGGAAAGGCAGATATACAGAGAGGAGAGACAGAGAGGAAGATCTTCCGTCCGATGATTCACTCCCCAAGTGAGCGCAACGGGTCGATACTATGCCGATCCGAAGCCAGGAGCCTCTTCCGGGTCTCCCACTCGGGCGCAGGTTCCCAAAGCTTTGGGCCGTCCTCGACTGTTTTCCCAGGCCACAGGCAGGGAGCTGGAAGGGAAGCAGGGCTGCCGGGATTAGAACCGGCGCCCATATGGGATCCCGGGCGTGCAAGGCGAGGACCTTTAACCACTTGCGCCATTGTGCTGGGCCCAACACTTCTTTTTAAATCAAGAAAATGGTCTTACAGTCATGAAAACTTACTTGGTACTTATGCAAAGTCACCTGACCAATTGATGATTAAGATTCTGGTATCCTCTTTGTTGGTTTACTTTTTGAGTTTTTAACATAAAGGGGGAAAAAATCAGCCAACATTTATGTTGGGCCTATCAATTGCAACCATCCATTTGTTAGGACACAAGAAGGGCAAAAATCACCAAAAAAAATGCATAAAAATAAATTGTATGGAGTTTATTTGAGTCCTACTACTGTATTGTTTATAAAATAGTTTATCACAGGACCAGTGCCATTGTGTAAGAAGCTAAATCTCTGCTTACATTCCATAGGGGGGTCGCAGTTCAAATCCCAGTTGCCCCATTTCTGATCCAGCTCTCTGCTTATGGGCTGGGAAAGCAGCAGAGGATGGCTCAATCCCTTGGGCCCTTGCACCTAGGTGGGAGATCAGAAAAAACTTCTGGCTTCAGATCAGCTCAGCTCTGGTCATTGCTAGGATTTTAGAAGTTACCTAGAAGATGAAAGACCTCTCTCTGTGTCTCCCCTTCTCTCTGTAGATCTGCCTCTACATTTAATTCACAGTAAGCTGATACAAATGGCTAATGTCCCTCATTATGAATACACATGTTCACACGCACACACACAGACACACAACTGCTTTCCCCTAGACACTGCTAAACCTGCTGACTATACGAGAAGCACGGCAATTCTATCACGGTCATGGCCACCGCAGTTAATGGTGGTAGAAGCTGCCAGTGCTTAAAGGACACTGAATTCACACAGATTGAAAGTATAACTGAAGGGCAGATCTTTAAGGCCCAAGGAACCCTGTGCATTGAGTGGTGGGAAAGGCAGCAGAGGAGAGCAGCAGAGAGGTGCTGACTGTAACAGGTGGACTGTCACCATGTCATGTTGGCATTATCGAAGGGCAAACAGCAAAGGTCCCAAACTGACCCCAGAAAGCTTGCCCCTCTGTTCCCATGGATCATAGGAGAACAAGTCTTTTTCATTTCTGAGGTCACAAAGAGACAAGCTGGTTCCGTTCTCCATCACAGTTTCCACTTCCTGATTGCACTCAGACGGTGGTGTGGGAATGATCAGGGCTTCTGAGTTAGACACTTCAGGTTAGAATTTCGGTCCCATCATCTGGGAGAAGCATGCTCCTAGATAAGCTACTTAACAGCCCTGAGCTTGCTTCTATGTTCTGTGTACAAATGGAGAGAATTCTTCCTACACTCACAAAATAATATCTCTAAAACATAAGCACACTGCATAGCCCATGGTGAGCTTTCGCTAAAATTGCGAATATTAGGTCCTGCACAATGACTCAATTGGCTAAATTTCTCCCTTGCAAGCACCAGGATCCCATATAAGTGCCAGTTAATGTCCCAACTGGTCCACTTCCCATCCAGCTTCCTGCTTGTGGCCTGGGAAATCAGTGGAGGATAGCCCAAAGCCTTGGGACCCTGCACCCACGTGGGAGACCCAGAGAAAGCTCATAGCTCCTGGCTTGAGATTGGCTCAGCTCCAGCCATTGTGGCTATCTGGGGAGGGAACCAGCAAATGAAAGATCTTTCTCTGTCTCTTCTTTGTGTAAATCTGATTTGCCTTTCCAGTAAAAATAAATAAACCTTTTTAAAAATTGCAAATACTATTTCTGATTGTAAAAATTAAGATTTGTAAGCATGTAATCACAATTTTACATGGGGGAGAGTAGGAATGCATCATATTAATAATGATTCACAGGTTTCTAAGTGAATCTTTTCTGTATTTTCCAAAGCTTCTATAAACTCATTACAACTTTTGTTCTGTGAAAAAGAAATAATCTTTAAAACAAAGCGACAGAGTTGGGATGAGCATTTAGTCTAGCAGTTAAATGCCAGCTAAAAGCCCACGACACCAGTCAGTGTTGTGACACTGGCAACACATAAGAGTACCAGTTCAAGTCCCAGCTGCTCCATTTCCAATCCAGCTCCCTGATATGTGCCTGGGTAGGTAACAGAAGTTGGCCCAGGTACTTAGCCCCTTCACCCATGTGGTAAAGCCAGATGGAGTTCCAGTCTTGTGGCTTCAGCCTGGCCTAGCCCCAGCTGTTGCAGCCATTAAACTGGAAGATCTTTGTCTCTGTTTCTCTCTATCCTCCACATACATACATACATATTGAAATTTTAATTTAATTATTGTTTTCTCATAATTTAGTATTTATTATACATTGATATTATTATTTTATATATATATATAGTTGTTTTTTTATTTTAACAAAGACACTGCTTAGGATACTTGCAACCCAATTACACTGCCAGTTTGATTCTCAGTTCCACTTCCGACTCCAGCTTCCACCCCTGGAAAGCAGTAAGTGGTGACTCAAGCACTTGGTTCCCTGATACCAACATAGGAGACCTGGATTGAGTTCCAGTCCTGGCTTCAGCCCTGCCCACCCCCAGTTATTGCAAGCATTTAAGGACTTAACCAGTAAATGAAAAATCTCTGTCTGTATCTCTCTGATTTTCAAATAAACAAACATAAACAATTTTTTTTAAAGACCAACATTGCCTCAGAACATCAAAGTCTTCATAGAACACTGCCCTAACATACAGGCAAGTTATTGTGAAACACAAAAACTTGCAGAATTTATTCTTCCAAGTCATCTTTTCTCACCACTAAAATATTGATGAGCTTAAAGGCTGTCTCCTTGTCTCTATTTTCCATTTTTATCCCATAATTTCAGATTTCAAGAGGACTTGTAAACTTGCAGTAATGAATAAAGGTGCTATAAATTAACCTATACATGATTCAAATCTTTAATTTATATATTCATTAAAATTTTACCTGTTATCAATCTTAGAGTTCCAGGTGTTAATGGCAACTCTAAATGAAAGTCAAATATAATCATTTGCATAAAGGCATTAGAAGATGATTAATTGATATTTTCATGCTGTTGTGATCTATTTTGCACTTCTAGAGCAGAAAAACATCCACTGAAAATCTTTACCTGTGCTGATCCTCCGCAAATTGCACGACAGCCTCCAGGGTTCCAGGACTCAGGCGCATTTACAGTGTTTTCATTACTTGTGTCGTGTTTTTCATGTTTTCTGGGTTTTAAAAGGCATCACAACTGGGCATCCTGAAAATTAGACTGATTACCATGACATTCCTTAAATATCAACTCATTTGCTTTCAAAAGAAAGACAGTGATTAAATCTGCTTACACTAATAAATTCCCATTTGTGTGTTTTAGCATGATATGGAGAACATATCCCAATTTCAAGGATCCTGAACATACGCTGCTTTAGCAAGTAAGTCAAAAAGCTTAGGCAGGAAAAAAAAAAAAGTAGTTTCAGGAAAGAGATTTCTCTCTCCTGAATGAAAGCTGTCCCCTGGCAGCTCAGATCCAGTTAGGTGTCCAAAAGCAGATCTGGATTGGTTACCTAATGTGTCTGCAGAAATGTAAGCCATACATTAATGCACTGAAGATAAAATCAATTTAAAAATTTCTTATATAATACCAATCCTGGAGTAATGTGCTATGTGCAGGAGAGTTACCCAACAATAATAGGAAGCCAATTATAAACTATAAACCGCTCTGCTCAATGTCTGGCTTGGTTACAAGTAGGGCCCATTACACACAGTTTGCACAAGAGAAAACTACTAAACATGCGGGCTCTTACAGAGTCAAAAATTCTAAGCAACATCCTGAATGCAAGTCGTAACCTAAACATCTCCCTATTCCACCACAGCACTACAGCCCAGCAGTTAAGAATAGATTTTAGGCTGCTGGGAGTACCTGAGCCAGACTGAACTCAATGTTTGGGGCCCTAGCCACAGCCACTACTGCCAAGCCCAAGTGGGCTTGCCTAGGCCCGAGAGTTTTCTCCCTTCACAGTAAGTACACTGTGAAAGGGATTGTTCAAGAGCTAGGATCATTCCCTGGCTCCACCTGCCAAGACCATCTTGGGCTTATGGATAGCCAGAGCACCAAGTGGTGCCAGGCTCTGCCTGCTGGCTGCCCAGAAGCAAACTATGGGGTCTTGGGGGCGTGGAATTATTGTCTAGGGACAAGCACAGATAAAGCCACTGCGCATGTGGCTAAGGAATGAATCCTGAGGGACTCCCAATGACAGGGTCACTAAACTAGCACGTAAGCGAGGGAGCTGAGACATGGTGGTTTAGAGGGGAGTGTCCAAAAGATCTGTATGGGTTAGACTGATACACCAGACCACATTGGAGTCCTGAGTAGCGCTTGTTGGCATGAATCATTGCTGACCACCACATGCCAATTCACACAAAAGCTAGGCCTGGGGACCTGTCCAGCTGGGCTAGATCCCAGTACCTTACTGAATGTTGGAACAGGGGACAGGTCACACTAGGCAGGGCCATGAGACTAACCAGCATGTTAGAGAACAAGGTCTGGAGGCAGATTCTGTGGGGGATATATGGGCCTAACCCTGTGGAAATACAAATCCCACTGGTTAGCTCAAGAGTTGGGTTGGTGATGGCCTGAGCTAGGTATGACCATGGAACCTGCCATCACACAGGAACACGGACTGAAAATAGTCTGGGCAAGTCTAGGCTGCAGCACCCGCATGTGCATCCTAAGACAGGATGCGACAGGAGTTAGTTGGATTGTAACATTCACCAGCTCATATAAGGCCAAGATGGAGGGGCAGGCTATGCCAAGCAAGGGCCTAACACTCACCGGCATGCATGAGATATGGGTTTGGGAGTGGGCCAAGTGGGGGAACATGGGAAATTTTTCTAGCGTGTCATAGCTCCTGTTGCTGAACACATGATCCAGGCCTGAGGGTTGGGAAAGCTGTGTAGGGACTCTTAACTGTTGGCTAACGTGTGTGGGTTGGTTTTGGAAGAGGGCAGACTGGGCAGGGCCGAGCAAATCTTAGCTCAAAGGCGAGTGCAGAAACCAGGTTGGAACACAGGTCATGCTGGGCTAGGCTGTCTCACCTACCAGTTCGCATGAGCCAGGGATGGGAACAGACTGATTAGGGCCTGGTGCCAGCACCCGCCAGTGAGTTGGGACTTCTGTCAAGTTAACCTGCAGAACCATTTGGAGAGTGCAGGATCCAGGAGTCAGAGTGAGCCCATTAGGGAAACAGTGGGAACCTCCCTCTGGGGTTGCCAGTCTGTCTAGTGAGCATGAGAATTAGGACTGGGGCAGGTATGGCCACCCATTGGCACCTGTGTGGGCTGGATAGTGGGGCTTGATGTGCTGAACTAGGCTTCAATGCCCATGGACATGTATGAGACCTAAATGGGATGTGGGACAGGCTGGACCAGTTTGTTGTACAAACTGGCATGTACAGGAACCAGAGCAGGGAGTGGGACTGGTGGTGGTTATTGTGGGTCACTCTGACTAGGCTACAGCTCCCACTGACCCAGCAATTGCAACCACCAGCATATGTATAAGGTGATTTGGGTGACAGACTGCACAGGACCATATATTGGCAGGTACACACAAGAATCAGGTCTGGGATCACCTCAAATCTAGTTTCTTTAGGGATCCCCATCCATGAAGAGAATTTCAGGTTCCATGGTCTGACTGTGGAGTGCATGAGTCAGAGCTGGGCCTCCTCAGTGGCTTAGACAGAGCTGTGGACAGCATATCCAGATGCACATGGAGGATATGGCAGTACATTGGAGCCTGTGGAGCACACTTGGTACCATGCATGACAGAGGACAGAACAAACTGATCCACTACCCCAGCCAAGTGTTGGCAGTGAATATCTGCTCAACGGAGACTCTAAGGTGGACTATGTCAACCAGTGGAGTCTGGAGCGATTTTGTTGTGCCTGGAGTGGTGAAATTGGCAATGATTCAGAACTGCTTAACTATTGAAACCTGTTGAGCAGATCTCTCAGAGCATGCCCCACATCGGGGACCTTGGGGTGGTATCGGGTGGCTGTCCCCCGTTCCAGGGTGCAGAGGTGTTTGGGAGGCTGGGTGTGGCTTCTCTGTCTCCCTGTCCCCTCAGATACCTCTCTCTTTTGTTGCCACACCCACTGGCACCAGTGTGGGCTGGATAGCGAGACTAGTTGGCTTCAACTAGGCTTCAATGCCCAAGGGAAAGGGAAGAGAAGGCAAAAAAGAAGATAATGTGGAAATGGTGATCTCACCCACCTTCCTGTAGCCCTTGACTCTTATCACCCTAATCAAGTATCATCAAAAATAATTTTAAAAGAACCAACTTTGGAATCACATACATTCAAATACTGACTTACCTTTTTGTCATTTACTTCTCATTCTTCATCATTAACAGTAACTGTAAGGACTGGTGTCATGGCATAAAGTCTCTGCCTGCAGTACCAGCAACCTCATATGCATACTGCTTCATGTCCCAGCTGCTCCATTTCTAATCCAGCTCCCTGCTAATGGCCTGCAAAAACAGTGCAGTCCTAAGTGTCTGGGCCTCTGTCACCCACACTAAAACTCAAATGAAACTCCTGGGTTCAACCTGGCCCTATGTTGGCCGTTTCAACCATCTGGGATGGAAGATTTTCTCTTTATGTAACTTTGACTTTAAATAAACTTTAAATAAATGAAGGGGCTACAGCAATGAAGCCTTTGTGGTAGCCTATGAATATTAAATAAGGCATATGAAATTCTGAGCTTTTAAATATGCAAGTGAAGTCAATAGGTACCACTCCCTTGTCCCTCTCTCTTTGTAATGGTCTCAATGTTCCATTCAGCAAGAGGGGCCAACATGGTGGCATAACACACTAATCCTTCATCTACAATGCTAACATTCCATATGAGCGCTGGTTCAAGTCCTAGCTGCTCCACTTCCAGTCCAGCTCCCTGCTTATGGTCTGGGATAGCAGCGGAGGATGGCCGTACTACCCACATTGTTGTGTCCTGAACAACCCACTCTTTCCTTCAAACTCATGTACACTGTTAACAGACTGCTCGGCAATGTTCCACCATCTTCACACAGCAGGTGCATACAAGACACTTCACCTTGTCCACACATAAACACTGGCCACCTCATGTAACTCCACAGGCAACCTGTCACACAAACCTGCTTAGTTTTCTTCCTTCTTCATAGCACTACTTCCTGAAAATGCCTTAGTTGCTGGTATATTTATTTTCTATCTTGTCTGCTCCAACTGAATCCTTGCTAGTTCCTTACTACATCCTCAGTGCCTAGACTAGCTCAAATATTTACCAAATAAATCATCACTGCTTTATGGGAACTTCAAACACAGCACTTATTAGGGAATTTGTCTAATCCCTTCCAGCCAAAGCTCTCTTGATTATCAAGAACCTGACTCAGGCTGCTTCAAACAAGGGGTGAAGGATGGGGCAGACATCATGGAAAGGACTTGAGGGGAAGACTTGCAGCTGGACCTCATGAGACCACAGGACTCTGAGTTGGGATAGACCCAATACGCTTCTCTCCTCTTCCCAGGCCACAGTCCGTCTCCTCCCTCAACCTTCTGTCTAGTCATCTCACGCACCGCAGCACATGCACTGGCTCTAATGGGTCCTCGTATCTAGAAATCTGATTTTTTAAAAATTCCTATTAGAAAGGCAGATATATAAAGGAGGAGAGACAAAGAGGAGAACCCTCCATCCACCGATTCATTCTCCAAGCGGCCCCAACAGTGGAGCCGCACCAATCCGAAGCCAGGAGACTGGAGCCTCTTTTGGGTCTCCCACGTGGGTGCAGGGTCCCAAAGCTTTGGACTGGATGGGAAGAAGAGCCACTGGAACTAGAACTGGGGCCCACATGAGATCCTGGCGCATGCAAGGTGAGGACCTTAGGCTGCTAGGCTACCACGCCAGGCCCAATAATTTTTTAAAAACACAAATTAACTTTATTAGGTGACTACTTCAGTCCTTACATTGATTTCTTTTAAAAAAAAATACGAGTTTGAAAATGTATTATTGAAAGTGAATACATACAATAAATACAAAACAGGGATGCATAGTGCCAGCAACACATCAACCAATTTTTCCTCATCTGTTGTCTACTGTTCTATGTTAGCATTGGCTAAAGAGCAACCAAAGCACCAGGAAGAAGGCTGCAGACTACCAAAAAAAAAAAAAAAAAACAGCTGAAAGCTCTGGACACTCACCCCCACCCCAAATTTTTTTCACTGTCATATTTGGAGCCAACCTCCTTACAGCACCAAATGATCTTCTACATCCATAATAATAAAAATACCAGTGGTACCAGGGAGAATCCATTAGCAGTATAAAGTTTTTACCTACTTGGTGATAACCCCTAAGCTACATGGTAGGCTCCATATAGTAAGTTATAAATAATCTGAATTTAATAACTTAAACATGATATGGTTCATACATGACTAATTATATCAACTCGTTAAATTTATATTTTTAATTTCTGCTTAGAAGAGATACATCATTCTAGCAATAGTAACATAGTTATAAGCAGAATATGATGTACTTAATACTCTGAATTACATAATGACTGAAGAAATAATTCCATATACAAGTAAGGTCGTATTCCATGTGCAAGTTTACAATCAAAGTTAGGTATACTAAATGCTTTCTGATGTCTGGGAACCAATCACAAAGGCACCTCCCCAGGCTAAAGGTCCAAGCAGGTGACACCAGCTCTCCTTCATGTGTGATGAACTTCATGAAGCACTGGTTCCCGAGGTATGTTCGTTTCTGGACCATACAGCTTACATGCTCTTCTTTCAAAGGCAGCAACCATCTGCTTTACAACTTCATCAAAAAACAACGTGCTAAGTTCAGAGCGTAGGAGTGAGCGAAATTCAAGAGACTGAAAAGTCCAAGGTACAAGTTCCTGGATATCCAGGAAGACCTGGGCTGATAGCCAACTAGTCTCCAAATGATTAAAAAGTCTCCCATCAGTACAAGATGCCTTCACCAAATGTGTTTTCACCAAAGTCACAACTGATCTATAACATTCCAGCATAGGTGGAAATCCAATTTCTAATCATGTTTTACAATATCCAGATCTCCTTGATCTTACATCCGATTTTTTGCACCAGGGAACAAAGTGTTTGTAGTCTTCCATTGCTGACACATCATACATTTCCTTCATTGAATAACCTATAATTCTTCACTCTGAGTATTCTTTCCTTTTGTTTATTAATGGTGCAGTAATTTTGAAGAAAGTTCTTGCATGTATCCCCTTAGGCAGCCTGGAGGTATGGGAAGTAAGAGATCTGCTCATCAGTATACCACAGGAAGCCAGGTGTCTGACGTTCTGCACAGGTCCCAGAGCTGGAGCCAAGGCACCAGTCGCCATCACCGACTTCACACAGCATCCCAAGACTATTGTGGTCAAGGCCCTAGGACCGGCCTGGACTACCACGGTCATCTCCCCAGTAATTTTTTTAAAATATTTTTATTGTAAAGTCAGATATACAGAGAGGAGAGACAGAGAGGAAGATCTTCCATTTGATGATTCACTCCCCAAACAACAGCAAAGGCTGGAGCTGAGCCAATTTGACGTCAGGATCCCAGAGCCTCTTCCAGGTCTCCCAAAAGGATGCAGAGTCCCAAGGCTTTGGGCTGACCTCACCTAATTTCCCGGGTCACAAGCAGGGAGCTAGATGGGCAGCAGGGCTGACCAGCATTAGAACCAGCGCTCATATGGGATCCCAGAGCGTTATGATTTCAGCTGCTAGGCCCAAGAATTTCCCTTTGAAATAGAGGATCCACTGGCCACTGTCTAGCTTTGGGCCAATAGTCTCCCTGACCCAACCAGTGATGGCCTGTAGGTAGAGAAGCAGGAACAAAGAAACGGTGCTTAGCTTGCCTTCTGGGGTCTGCCCAATCTATCTGGCATGAATCACACCCACCAGAGACTGCATTACACTGACTGCCCTACAGATCTTGTTCTTGTACACTTCCATTCCCTTTTATTATTTCCTTTGCCCAAATGGCTCTTTCCCACACACCAGCCTTTCAAGTAAATATTTTTAGTAGCATTTAGTGCACAGCCATGCAACCATCACCACTATGTAACCCCTTAACTCCTTTGACACCCCAAAACAAAACCCATGCTCATTTGTTGTCAGTCCTCAATCCCAGCCCAGCCTAGTTTCACTTCTCTCAGGGATGTATCTAGGATTGGATATTACACACAAGAATATTAGAATCTGGCTCATACGGCAACTGCTCTTTTTGAGAAAGTGTCCAACGACTTTCTAAAGCAGTTGTATCACCACTTCCCACTTCCTTCAGCAATGAATGAGGGCCAGCATTTCTGCACACCTTTGCCCAAACTTCTTGCTTCCATCTTCTTCATTACAGGCAGCCAAGTAGGTATGAAGTACCTTAAACTTTACTTATTCGATAGACAGTTGGCAGCCACTAGTTCATCTCCAGATGGATGCAATTGCCAGCACTGGGCCACAGTGCCATCCAGGACCCCCAGGATGGGGTGCGAGGATGCTGTCAGGGGGTGACAGAGAGCATTATTCTGCAACTAGAACTGCAACATTCCAAAGAGAAATCTATCAACTGTGTCTTACGTTGTCAAACAGTGAAGAGGACTGACCATTCGATTTAACGCAATGAAGGTTTTGGTCAACTCTAGTGGTCATATTTTCTATAGTATCTGAACTTTTCACTGGTGTGCGTCTAGAAGAAAAAAAGCACAAAGCATAAACTTGAGTTTTATTCTAAGGAAGCACAAAGAAAGGGGACCTTGACTAAAAGGCAAGGATTTTTTTAAAATATGAAATTCTAGGGGCCAGTGCTATGGCATAGCAGGCTACGCCTCTGCTTGCAGGACGGGCACCCCATATGGGCACTGACTCCAGTCCCAGCTGCTCTGCATCTAAACTACCTCCTTGCTAATGGTCTCAGAAACCAGCAAAGGATGGCCCAAGTACTTGGGCACAAGTGCAAGGGAGACCTGGAAGAAGCTCCTGTGTCCTGGCTTCAACCAGCTCAACTCCAGCAGTAAGCCAATTTGGGAGTCAACCAGCAGATGTATGATCTATCTCTCCTTGTCTTTCAAATAAAGCCTTAAAAAAAACAAAAAATGCCAAACATGGATCCTCTGAACAGGCAAGGAATGGCACATATGACAAACAGGATTTATCTTTAACAGAGCAAGGACTGTCTGTCTATAGTGAAGAGAGACACCGATAAGATGTGGCTGAAGTCCATAAGATTTTGTTCTAAGTTTGATTTTTCTTTTTTAAGATTTATTTTTATTGGAAATTCAGATTCACAGAAAAAGGTAAAAAAGATCTTCTGTCCACTGGTTCACTCCCCAAGTGTCATAATGGCCAGAACCGGGCTGATCCAAATCCATGAGCCAGAAGCTTCTTCCAGATCTCCCACATGGGTGCAGAGTCCCAAAGCCTTGGCCTGTCCTCTGCTGCTTTCTCAGGCCATAGGCAAGGAGCTGGAACAGAAGTGGCACAGCCAGGATATGAACCAGTACCCATATGGGATCCTGGTGCATGCAAGGTGAAGACTTCAGTCACTAGGCTACTGCACTGGGCCTTGCAAGTATTTTTTTTTTCTTCCTTTTTAAACTTAAAACAATTAAATTTCTCCAATAATAGATAGCAGAAGTCCAAAGGATCAACTTTTTTCTTTGGAACTGGTATTTACTTTCCACCAACCTGATTTCCATGTCTGCTACAGTCTGTTCCTAGGCGTTACTCAGCAAGTGTTCCTGGCCACTGAGTGGCCTCAGCCACGGGAGTGGCCGAACAGGGAGAGAGCACTTGCATACCTCCAAACCAGTTTGCACCTTCAGGTGGAATAGCTGTCAACTCAGGAGCTGGGGCAGTCCGTTCACCCAGAAGTCCCTTTGGTCACATCTTCTTCAGCAGCAGCCTGCTCTTCTTTTTCCCATCTCCTCACAAGCAGCCATCAGGCATGATCTCTCACGGGTGTTCCAAGCACAAGGTAGGACATCTGTGCAGAACCTCCAGGGCCAGCATCCACATCAGACTGCGTGGGTACCCTTGTTGTTGCATGGGATAACAATGCTCACATAGCACAGAACCCTGTTACACAGAGCAAGGTCACCCAAGATGCCTCTGCAAAAGGTTCCCAGAGGATGCCTGACCCAGATAGGAAAAGTTGCAGGTGTGAAGCGACCAGCCACAGGCATAGCTCCAGCGGCAGCAGCACACTCCAGCCCAGTGCTTGAGGAGGGTGTCACACTGCCCTCCTCAACGGCAACCATGGCAGGAGCTGACAACAAGAGCTTCTCCGGGTCCTCGTCAGGCTCGCGATGGAGAGATCACTTATCTTTTCATAAATGTAGTATTCCATTGGAAGTCCAGGTGGCACTACGTGGGTTGGCTGCCTGCTGCAAGGCATTTGGGGCCTTCCTCCTCCTTCAACATGCACGACATTGAGGGAATGACAGTATGACAGCTTCCCTTTAAGTTAATGCCAAGAAATCAAGAACAAAGCTGGATGGACCCCTTGCCTGGTGATGCAGAAAGACTGGTCCTGACCTTCTTAAAGAGATGAAATTAGTACGCCCAACTGCAGAACAGGCACAGTACGGTGTTTAACTAGGCAAGTATAGCCAAGAGATTTGCTTCCTGTCACAATGGAGCACATAATGAGTAAAGAAAATGACAGGTGAAAGCCAGGTGATGGGATCAGCAAGTGCTATCATACCCTGAGAATCCTGCATGCACCTCACTCCCCCGCTACACTGAGGCTCCCCCAAGTAGGATCCCTACCAGGTAATAGGTAATTCTTAATATCTTAGCACACATATATTTTTTAAAATGTGGATGTTTACTGATGATTAACAGGAAATTCCCAGTCCCCTATAAAAAGTTTCAAAGCTATCAAAATTGTGGTATGAACAGACTCTTTGCAATGAATGAGACAGGATGCTCAATTTCTATGGTGTGTTCAAGGCCTGATTGAAAATGTCCCAGATATAACCCAACTATGAACTCTGCCCTTACTGAATGCCTGGATGCAAGAAATCTTCGAACTTTCCAACTTCTAATTATTTTACCTCCTTGCAATCAATTACTATAAAGCTCTTTGCAGGACTCCAACAGGCCTTGAGAACAGGCAGCGAACATAAATCAAACTTCGCTTCCTAAACAGACATAAATTAAGCTTGATCTGGAATAGAGGGAAAAACGCACAGACAAAGAGCATGTAAAATACGTTTTATTGTTCTTTAAAAGGGTTCAGGGTTTGGTTTTAAATCAGGCGCACACCGTTCATTAGTCTGACGTCTCTCCTACCATGTCAGACTGGCTTCAGCTAGCAATGCCTCATTAAATCCAAAAGAAAAACTTGGTTCAATTTTCAAGAAAAAAAAAATCCAGTTCTGAGAACAATTAACATTAGTCTGTAATTTAAAACAAAACGAGGGCTAATGTTTCATGTTGCTTTATACACTCTTCTTCTCACACAGAACCAGGAATATTAGTTTTCCTAACCCAGGCAGGCACTGATACTGTTGGACACTGTGCACACACGCACACCCCCCCCCACATACACACACCCCCCAAATATTTATAGCATAAAAACGGGAAAAGGTTTGTTATGGGATCAAATCAATCAAATCCTTGGAGTCAGTCTATCTGAACTTACAAGGTATGCTATTTTGGATATTGAGTCTATGTTAAAGGCATCTATTGTCATGTTCTGAAATTTGGAAAGTACCATTATTTCGTCCTTAGAATTCTAGAAACAATTTCAGAAAGCATGATTTTGGTTTATTTTCTGGGATGGCAAAGAAGAGAACTTTTTTTACATTTAATTAAAAATTAAAGCAACTCTGGCATCAGGAAACAGGCAGTTCACAGAGTAGGCCAACGTCTGAGGTACTGTCAGGTGAGACAAAATCCCGGCCCACTGCTACTGGCCGAGGGGATGCTAAGGAAATGGGCAGCTATGGCTGTGCACAGCAAGTAACAGTGGGCAAGACAACTTGTATTCAGAGCCTTGGAAGCAGGACATTGGAAAGCATGTACCACTGCAGCAAGGAGCTCAGAAAAGCCTGCTAGTGCCCTTCCACCTGCTTCGTCAAAGCAGCCTGGTCACAACTGCCTTCTGTGGAGGAACAGAGACAGTCTCTAGATCAGCACACGGAAACCGGCAAAAACTATACAGATGCTACGATTATGCCACTCCCTGAGGAACACGAGCCCTCTGACCCTAACTGAGCTGCTCACTGTCTCTGCTACAGCCCGTGACACACACTCATCAGGCATTGCTGGTTTCAAAAACCTAGTAAAGTAACAAGGCAATCAGTGGTTAAACTGAATGGTACAGAGGGGTGGCAACTTGGAAAAACACCTACCGCAGGCATTTCTCAAGCCCAGAATACTGTGAATTTGCTATTGCTCTTTTAACCATTTCTGAAATTTCAGAGTACAAATTTACCCTAAAATAAAAATTTCGAATGACCAAAATTCTCACTTCATTAGAAAATCCAAGGAGCACTACGGTCCACAATTCCATAGAGTGCAGAAAGGGTGCTGGCTCTCTGCTGGGACCCCATCCCAAGCGACAGCCCGCAGTTTCTGAGACACCCACTTGGCTTCATTGGTTAGGAAAGAGAAGAACTCAATTCTCAGCTAAGTTCTTTGACAGACTCCTCTTAAAATGCCATTTCCCCACTAATTTACCAAAATAGAAGGTCTGGGCTACTTTGCCCAATGTTAGACAGGGTTTTGAGGAAAAGAAATGAACATGAACACCCCATCATCAGTGAAAACTAAAAGCCACCTGCTCCACCCCCAACACCAAAGTGCCCAGGTGGGCTTAAGGCTGCCAGACTGCACATACATCTACAGCACAAGGGCTTCTCTTAGTCCATCTGCCACTTGTATCAGGGTAAAATGAGGGAGAGAGCGAAGAAGAAAGGAAATACATCTCTTCTTGCTCCTAAAACCCCACCAGGGCAGACTATGCGCCAAGCCAAACAGGAGAGTACGCTCCCCAGCCAGATGGTGCCGCACAGGCTAATCTGCTGGCTTTCCTTAAAGACCTATTTTGAAAAGTTAAAAAAGGAAATTTTAAAATCATTCAATCCCGGTAGAAATTTAAACTCCAAAACTAGGAGCAAAATCATCCTTCACTAAATTAATCCCTTTTTTCTCTTTCTTAAACATTTTATTCACGTTATAGAGGGATTTCTTTTTCATTTGCTACTTTTCAATCATTAAAATGGTGGCGGAGGACCGAATTCATCACTACTTTGATGACACAGGTCAGATTCCAGATTCACATTTCCAGGTAGCAAGAGTTCCCTCTAAATGCCACAATCAAGTCAGCTTTTGTTTACATTTCTCTCTACTGAATACAGCAATGCCCATTGGTGTCTCTGAAGCGTAGTCGCATCTTAGGTCGGTATTTCTCCAGGTAAAGCAGTTGTTTGGAATTGAATGCTCCCCTTCTTTTTCTGGGAAAAAAAAAAAGATGGCATACATGTTTAAAGAAAACAGAAAGGGGAGGGGCTGGCTGTTCAATTTACAAAAATTCATTACTTACAGCCTAAAGCCTTCCTAATTAACTCTATCCAGTTAAAAACCAACTTATTTCTCATGACATGTCAATTCTTAATTCTTAAGTAAGTTGCACCATGAACTTCCTGGGTCATTTTGGAAGTAACAAATTTTCTTTGCAGATTTTCATTGCAGTCTATTTAATAAACATCAAAATAGTACATTATCCAGAAACATCTGGTTGCATTTATACCAACTGGATTAATATATTTCCCAGGTTAGAATTTGAAGCAAGTACTTAGAATGCTAAAAACTATATATGAATATGAAGTTAAAGTAGCAGATTCAAGGCACACAAGAGACAATACTTGAAAAATACCCTCTTCTTAGAACTTCTGGCGCCCTCTCGGTCTTTTTTGCTTTCCTTTATTAAAGTGTTGAAAGCACAAGACAATAATTGCCAAAGATGCTCTTCCAGACCAATAGGCAAGGCTCTGGCTGGGAAGGGCCATCTTGTTTTCATGCCTGAGCACAACCATTTTAACTACTCCTCCACACAGTCTTCCTGTCTCTTAATCAGAGTCTTGCATTTGGAAGGTATTTTGGAATCTACTGCAGGGAAATTCTACATCAAGGAGTCTTTCATTTTCAATATTCTCAGATGTTCAAATCATACACTGCACATTTCCTATAACATTCAAATTTTACAACCAACCAAATTAGAAAATCTGGTAGGTAGCCAGTAGTACTGAGTCTATCACTTATTCTAAATTTTTTATAATGTTTATTCCTTCAACTAATATTTAAGCCAAAGAAAACAAATTATCCATACATCATATATCCTTCCTCACATGTTGTTTTTGTGTTTCTGAACATAAAATGCCATACTCACTGTCTTATAAACTGAACTGCATCTTCATACTTCATTCCACATTCAATCAAAGCAAGTGCAACTAGCACAGGTGCCCTGTGGAAAGAAATCCATGTGTAAACAATCAGAATCCCTGAAACTCAAGGATTTGGAAAAAAAAGCTGTGATCACATATTATCAAATCAAAACTAAGCTAATCAGGAGGTAGGCACGCGCACGCGCACACACACACAGTGTAGGTCTGACTAAACGTACTTTATAAAAAATCTTACATAACACAATTCTGATCACTATAATTAAAGCAAACTTCAAGGCTGTCAAATAAGTCTTCTCAATGAAGTAAACTGTCATATGTCTAAATTCATCTTTTTTGAGCTTTCCTTTTCCTGTATACTAAAATACATGCCATTTTCCTATACATAATAAAAATGTTTATCATTATATAGTATCTACAATATTAGCAATTTTAAGTAAAACCCAAAACTATAAAAAAGATTTTTATTTTTAAAACATTCACTTTAAATTTTCTCATTATTATCGTCCAAAACTCGCCACAGGAATTAGCCACTATCAGAGCAAAATAAATGGCTGTATGTATTATCAATGTCTAGGGACCCAGCATCTTCATTACAAAGCAGTATCAGTACTTCACCAAATGCTAAAATGATGCTGGACTTCTTCAACATCACTCTGGTGAGACAGCAAGGTGCCAAAACATTAGTTAGAAATAGGTATCTCTACATTTAAAAAAATCTACCAAAGGAAATGGTGTTAATACAACATTCCAAAGGCACCTACTTCAGAGTATCTCTCACTAGCAGAGCTGCTACTTCTAAAACTGTCCAAAGTCAAAGTTATACAACCCATTTTTAGCCTTCAAGATAAGGGTGGAATTTTGTAGTCTAGAAGAGAGTATCACGTAAAACTGTAAAAAAGGAAACTAGCAAATGAAAGCTCAAGCACAGCAACCAGCCCGAGTCACCTCCACCTGAGGCGACAAATCTGCATGCACAAAGGGTCGGAGTCAAAGTGCACATCCTAGATCTGCTGAAGAGGACAGTTTACCACCACTCCAGGCAGCGCTCGGGGGAGAGGTGCTTTTCTTTTGCTTTCTCCACCCACCTTTTTTTAAAGGTACATTTATTTCCTTTTTTTTGTGAAAAGGAGAACTAAAGAAGAGATACACAGAAAGTGAGCACTTCTGTTCCACTGGGCCACTCCCCTAAAGGTTGCAATGGCCAGGACTGGGTCAGGTGGGAGCCAGGAACTCTACAAGAGTCTCCCATTCAGGTCATCTTCCAGTGCTTCCCAGGCAAATTAGCAGGAAGCTGGTTGGAAAAGGGAGTAGCTGGGGTCAAACCAGTGCTTCGATGTAGGACATATCAGTGTCACAAGTAAGAGCTTAACCCAGTTTGCCACAATGCTGGCCGACACATGGAAAAGGGTTTAAAGTAAAAGTAAATTCTTGTCAATGCATCTCTTTTCAAGAGGTTAAAGTCCAGCCATTTACGTAATAACGTTCCACTTATCTAAATTCAAAAGTTACCACATGGGCCTAGCAGCTAAAGTCCTCACCTTACATGCACCAGGATCCCCTCTGGGCACCGGTTCTAATCCCAGCAGTCCCGCTTCCCATCCAGCCCCTTGCTTGTGGCCTGAGAAAGTAGTAGGAGACAACCCAAAGCCTTGGGATCCTGCACCCATGTGGGAGACCCGGAAGAGACTCCGAGCTCCCAGCTTCAGATTGGCGCAATTGGCCGTTGCAGCCACTTGGGGAGTAAAATCATCGGACGGAAAATCTTCCTCTCTCTGTCTCTCCTCTCTGTAAATCTGGCTTTCCAATTAAAATTTAAAAAGTAACCACAAATAGAATCTTGTGTCTAAAGTGATTACTCTTCTCACCCATTTCAATGGCCTAAACTTTTTATTACCAGAAATAAAGGGAGAGAAAAAATGTCACTAAATCCAGTAATGTCATCAGAAATCACAGGACCAGATGAAATACAAAAGGCTATCCTGTCCTGTAAGATTATCTTAGCTTTTGCTCTTATTTCTTGTCAATTCAAATAATTAATATTATTGAGCGTAACACGAATTTCTACCAAAGCAAAATTTCTGACTGACATAGGCATGATAATCAACTCAGACAAATCAAACCTTACCTTCCCAATCCTGCAACACAATGCACTGCAACACAGCAACCTGGCTCTTCACGAAATTTGCTTTTTAACAGGTTTAGCCAATCATCTACTATTTGATTAGGGGGTGGAGCTCCATCATCAAATGGCCAATCCTGAAAGAAATGATGACCTTTGCATTAAATTCACAATTTCTCCAGGATTAACATTCTAATTCACAAGAACTACACACGGAACACCAGGCAGGTCTGGCTATTTAACTAGACCAAAAACACTTAACATGTTAAGTTACATGTTATATTTACAAGAGCAGTACCAAATGACAGGGTCCAAGTGGAGACTGTCAAGGACTCTTTTCATTTTGTATTCATTAATTTTTGTTATCTTTTAACCAAAACTAACTACACAGCAATTACTAAATATAGGATAGGGATTCTTCCTCCTGACGATCTACCAAGAAGCCCTAAGAGGGGCCAGCGCAGTGGCCCAGCACACCAATCCTCCGCGTCCAAGTACCAGCATCCCATATGGGTACTGGTTTGTGTTCCAGTTGCTTCACTTCTGATCCAGCTCCCTGCTTGTGGCCTGGGAAAGTGGGGGACGACCCAAAGCCTTGAGACCCTGTTCCTTCAGATCAGCTTAGCTCCGACTGTTGCAGCCACTGGGGAGTGAACAAGCAGATGGAAGTTCTCTTCTCTCTGTAAATCTGCCTTCTAAATAATAATAAATAAATCTAAGTCTGAAGAAACCAACACAAACTGGCAGGATTCACATTTCAGAATCCCTAGCTCTCCTTCTACCTATCCTTTAAGAATTGAAAAAAAAAAAAAAAAAAAAAAAACCACTGTTGGGAATTAAAAAAAAATTATTCTAATGAAGCTATCTGATAAGGACAATTTAAGACAGTAGAAAAGAAAAAGAAACGTGAGAGCGCTAGACTGATGTTCCACTTATTATCAGCAGCACCACAACGCTCTGAGTAGTCCACTAGCCACAAAAGCACATTATGTTTGTCAACTACACCCCATAACTAAGAGGCTGTCATTTTTATGTCACTACAGCTTAATTGTAAATAGCAGTAAAACTTTAAGAATCTCAGCTGAGTGCTTCCTCCTACATTTCCTGAAATGCACCTCATTAAGAAACAATAAGCACTCTTCACTTAGTAAGCAGTTTCTATCAAAAAAAAAAAAATCACTGATCATTTAGAAACTCAAATTGACACAAATGAAGCCACCATTAGTTTATTCCAAGGCACCTTTGATTTGCAAGAGTATTCGAAAAAGTTTTTAAGGTCTTACTTGAAGTGTTTACTGTAAAGAAAGAATCCAAACTTTTTTCACTTAGCAGAAGTAAATTAGCTCCACCTTAAGATTTCTGTCTATTGTCATCATTTGGTGCAGTGGTTAAGATGCCTGTATTTTCTACCTCAGTGCCTAAGTTCAAACTCTGGCTCCACTTCCAATTCCAGCACCCTTTGAATGCACCTGTGGAAGAAGGTAGGCGATAGCTCAAAATAGCTGAGCTCCTGCCACCCACTTTCCCAGGACCAGGATTGAGTTTCCTGCTCCTGATTGTTGTGCGCATTTGGGACATAAACAATCAGATGGAAGATTCATCTCTTTCAAACAAATAAATTAAAAGAAGAGGAACCAGAGCTGTGGCTTGTATGCCTCCCACGTGGGCACCGCTCAGGGGTTCTCCGGCAGTCCCACTTCCCATCCAGTTTCCTGCTTGTGGCCTGGGAAAGTAGTAGATGTTCCAAACCTTTGGGACCCTGCAGCTGTGTGGAAGACCCAGAAGAATCCCCTGGCTTCAGCAGGTACAGTACAAGCTGTTGCAGTCACGTAGGGAGTGAACCAATGGGGTTCTCTCTCTTTCGCTCTTTCCTTCAAGCAAATAAAATACTCTTTCGGGGGAGAGGGTTTAGAAAAAAAAAGGAAAACTCAGTTCCCTAAAGGGGAAACAGAAACTTCTGTCTAGAAAAAGGAAATTACAAAATGTCTTTTTTTCCCAAGCTTAAGCTGAAGTTCCAATTTTACCTTATCACATGTATTTAAAATAAAACATCTAATAATAAAGGTCTTGCAAGGATTGGTGCTGTGGCATAGCAAACTAAGCTTCCACCTGTAACTGCCAGCATCCCATATGGGCTCCACTTTCAATCCAGGGATGTCCATGGGATCCTGCACCCACATGGAGACCTGGAGGAAGCTCCTAGTTCCTGGCTCCGAGCTTTGTATTTGTCCAGCTCCAGCTAGTGTGGTCATTTGGGGATTGAACTAGCAGACAGAAAATCTCTCCTTCTCTCTGAACTCTGCCTTTCAAATAATTAAGTCTTCACAAAGAATAAAAAATGCATTTTTAATAAAGGTTTTGGAATAAATCTACTAAACTAGTTCAAGTTCTTTATTTCATGTCTATTTCATTTAGACGCATTGTCAAAATTATTGATTCAGACTATGCTCAAGCATCCTGACAGGTAGCAGTCAACCCCAAGTCATTCCTTACCCTGCAATCTGTCAAAACAAGCTTATTTCTCATCTACCCTTTGAAGAACACACTTAGAATACAGAGAAATGAACTTGTATTCAGTTTAATTTTGAAGTTTTTTGTTTTCATTTTTTTAAACAGAAGGCTACATTTAACAATTGTTTACACTTATATCCAATAATTTCCAAGCCAATCATTTAAAAAGGTGAATGCAAGCAAATTATCATGCCATGCCATTAAAGATGAATTTACTTATTTCCAATGCGGAATGACAGAACTGGAGACAGAGCTCAATCTGCTGGTTCCCTCTCCAGCTGCCTAGAGCTGGGGTTGGGCAGGCCCAGGGAGGAGACACGGCATTCAATCCAGGTCACACAGGTGGCACAGACCTAAGTCCCAGGTTATCATTTTCTACCTTCCAGGCATATCAGCAGGAAGATGTAGCAATCTGATTAAGGGGTGTTGTGTCTCAAGCTACAACTTAACCTGGTGTACCACAGTATCTATCAAACATTTTTTAAAAATATAGTTGGTTATTTAGTTTTGTATTTTCAATAAAACTGAGGTGAAGAAATTATACAAATCACATGTGACAACTGCTTTACCAACAGAATATTCACTCTCTTGGTGAAGTGCTTTTTCAACCAAAAGCCAATATAATAAAGATGACAGGTCTACCCCCATAATATGTAGGAATCAGAACTGCTGAAGTAGCAAAGTGGGTTAAACTGTGATGCTGGCACCCCATAACAGCCCTGGTTCCCCACATCAGCACCAGTTCCATTTTTGATCCAGTTCCCCAGGTACTTCACCTGGGGAAGCAATGGAATATGGTCCAAGTGTTTGGGCCCCTGGCATCCATGTGGGGGATCCAGAGGGAACGCCCTTGTTTCTGGTTTAGATTTGGCCAATTCCTGGCTGCTGCAGCGATCTGGGGAATACACCAGTAGAGAGATTTGCTTCTTCTTCTCTGTAACCATCTTTTAAATAGTAAATCTTAAATCTTTTGTGGTTAAAAAAAAAAAAAAACATAAAAACCTTGAACCAGTAACTTCCTTAATACTTTCTTCCAACCTAACTACAAAACACGCAGCTGTTTTCACACTGTTTTGCTCTTGTATGATCAAACCAAACAGCTCTAAGACAACTACAACCACAAGGCCAATTTGGTAAATGCATCAAAAAGCTGATTCCATGATTTACTCGTTTAGGGAAGAAGTAAAATTCTAATCTAAGGTGCCTGTTTGCTATAGTCAAATAGTATGTTTAGGTGCTAAAGATGAAATTAATTTAAAATAATGCCAATCACGTTGGGCTCTAACTCAATTATGAAACACATTTATTCATGCAAAAGCTCCTCAGCAACCTACCAGAGAATGTCAGAACCTACGCTGATTACTTGAGATCCAAATGCCTTCTTCCTCTCTTTATCCTCTTTTCCACCTTAACTGATCCCTACAAATCCATAAAATACTAAGTAACTGGGCCCGGCGCGGTGGCGCAGTGGTTAAGGTCCTCGCCTTGCATGCCCGGGATCCCATATGGGCACTGGTTCTAATCCCGGCGGCCCCACTTCCCTTCCAGCTCAAAGGCTGACTTGTATTTATTTTCATTATTTATTTCATTTATTTGAAAGTCACAGTTACAGAATAAGAAAGGGATAGAGAAAGACTCAGATGGTTCCACCCACTGGTTCAATCCCTGTATGGTTCCAACAGATGACACTGGGATAAGCTAAAACCAGGGACTTCATTCAGGGTAGCTCCGTGTGGGTGTAGGGACCCCTTCTTCTGTTGCCTTCCCAGACACTTTAACAGGGAGCTGAATTGGAAGTGGAGCATCCAGGACTCCTAATAGAACCCACAGGGGCTGGTGACCCTGAAGAGAGCAGCCAACCTATCATACTGTAACACTAGTTCCATTTAATCTATCTTTTACATTGATTTATCATATGGAAAAGTCAGAATTGGAGACATCACCCATCCACTGGCTCACTCCCCAAACGTCCGTGATGGCCAGAGCTGGGCTGGCCCAAAGCTAGCAGCTCAGGCCAGGAGCTTCCTCAGGGTCTCCCATATGGGTACAGTGCCCTAAAGCCTTGTGTGATCCTCTGCTGCTTTCCCAGGCCACTAGAGCAAGGAGGTGGCCTGAAAGTGGAGCAGCTGGAATCAGAATGAGTACCCATAAGGGATGTCGGTGCCACAGATAAAGGATTAACCCAGCTCCCACTGCACTAGTCCCATATTTTTATGTTTATTTTCATTTTACTTGCAATAGAAAGACTTTTTATATACTAGAACACTTTCCAAATGCCCACAACAGCTAAAGGCTGGGTCAGGGCACAGTAAGGAGTCTGGAACTCCATCCATGTTTCCCAGGTGGTGGGCAGAAACCCAGCAACTTGAGCTATCATTGCTGCCTTACTAGGGCGTGTATGTTAGCAGTAAGCTGCAGCACAATAGACTGTCTGGAAGTTAAGCCAAGAACTCCTAATGGGATGCAGGCATACCAAGCAACTCTTTAAAGATCTTTCCCTTGAAAACACTGGGATCCCATGTAGGCACTGGTTCCTGCCCCTGCTGCTCCACTTTGCATCCAGCTCCCTGACTGTGTTCTGGGAAAGCAGTAGAAGATGATGGCCCAAAGCCTTGGGACTCTGCATCGACATGCACCCAAAAGAAGCTCCTGCCTCCTGGCTTCAGATCGACTCAGCTCTGGCCATTGCGGCTGCTTGGGAGTGAACCAGCAGTTGCAAGACCTTTCTCTCTGTAGATTTAACTTTCCAATAAAAAAAAAAAATCTTTAAAAAAAAAAGAGGAAGGAATGAAGGAATGAAGGAGGGGTGGGATACGGGACAAACAGGAGGGAAGTAAGGCAAGGCAGGCAGAATAGACAGATTTAAGAGATCTCTTAAATCCGGTAACTCACTTTCTAAATGGCCACAAGAGCCAGGACTGAGCTAGGCTGACATTGGAAGCCAAGAACTCCATCCTGGCTGCCAATGCTGGTGGGGCCCAATACATGGGCCATTTTCTGCCTTCCCAGGCAGATCAGCAGGCTTCTGGATAGGAAGTGGAACACAAGGAACCCAAGTTGGCACTCTAGATAATGAGAGGTCAACATTTCAAGCTGCAGCTCAACCCACTCTACTACTATGCCAGCACCCTCAAAGCAGCCCCCTCAACTACTACACTGTTCCAAACATCTAACCTGAGATTTCCGGTTTGTTTGTTTGTTTGTTTGTTTTTTAAGACAGATTTACAAAGAGGAGAGAAAACTTTTCGATTCACTGGTTCATTTCCCAAGTGGTCACAACTGCTGAAGGCAATCTGAAGCCAGGAGCTTCTTCCCGGTCTCACACAGGTGCAAGGTCCAAAGGATTTGGAATATTCTGTGCTGCTTTCCCAGGCCACAAGTATGGAGCTAAATGGGAAGTGGAGCAGCCAGGACAGGAACCAGTACCCATATGGGATCCCAGCATGTGTAAGGCAAGGATTTAGCCACTGAACCATTGTACCAGGCCCAAGATTCCCATTTTAATGAAATAAACACATACTACATTTTACTTTTTCTTAAAAAATACTCCGCATTTTTAAAGGGAACAAATGAATAAAACTGCCAGTGTAATAATCCAAAGGAATTCTTAAAAAGATAATTCTCAATGCCGAATCTCATATTATAAGCTTAAAAAGCAAAACTATTGAGTCTTGTTTTATAAATATCTAGGTCTGAAAGTGAATATCTGTGATGAAAATTAAAACACTACACACTCACTAGAACGTGGATTCCTTCTTTTTCAACTGGAGCTTTGTCATACGTGGCATCACACACTCGGACCAAAGTTGTCACTCCGTATTTCTTAAGTTCCTTTTAAGAAAAGACAACTGTAAATGAACTTGCTTTTGGATACTGTAACCAAAGCTTTAAAATGTACTTATTATAAACAATAGATACTGTTCCATGATGAAAATCATTCTCATTGAGCTAATACATACAACAGACGCACATGCCCCCTCAGGTGGAAGGTAAGACTCATCTTTCTCAAGGACAGTCTGGTAGTCTGACACATATGTAAATTCTATTTGGAGGGATTTGTACAAAGGAAAATATTAAAGATACATATGAAGATTTAAAAAGCAACACATTCAAAAAAAACTGAAGCTATCCAAGCTTTTGTAATAAAAAGTGAATCCCCTGCCCCCACCCAGCCAAAAACAGTAGCAGCACATTCCAAGCAGACTGGAATGGTGAAACAGAACATTTAATTAGCCCAACGGTCCAAAGAAGTATAACACATCCCTACAACGAACACTGTAACAGCTATGAAAGTGATCCTAGCGAGAATGGGGAAGAGATTTTAGGAAGCACAGTGTCATCTATCTATATCTTTACAAATATTTATTTATTTATATGTATATGAGCTATAAAATCTGTAGAAACTAGGTATTAACCAGTTTTTAAATTCCCTTTTTGTTTATATGTACCTTCTGATGTTTACAATTTTTTTGAAAAGGAAAGAAAGTAATTTTGAAATTAAAGGCAAAACTAGGATTGTATTAAAGAGAGCTAATGCACAATTATAACCGGTCTTGCTCCTTTAAAAACCCTCCTCCCTCAGCAGTGGCTGCCCAGTCTATGACTATCTTCAAGGGAGCACCGCCATCTTGGTAGAGCTGCAGGACAGTGGCTTCTGCCACATTTGGAGTCTATCACCGAGGAATCCATAGGCTCAAAATAACATCCTCTAATTCCTCCAGGCTTAAAGTGACTGACAACCTGAGGGCACACAGGCCTGTAGTCAACTTGTACACTGTGCACGCAGCTTCAAGAAGCTCAGGGCATGGACATATGACTGTTTATGAAGAACAATATTATAGTAATAATATAGGGAAACTCAGTGCAGGGGAGGGGACTTGGGTGGGGACTAGAGAAATCCCAAGGCCTATAGAACTGTATCACAAAATAATAATAATAAAAAACTAAGAAAAACTTAAAAAAAAAAAAAAAGCAGCTCAGGATAATGCTAAGTATAGGTCAACAGGAACAGTGCTCTCCGACAAGTGTCCACCACCCAGCCACCTAAACAGGGAGGTTGGTATAATTATTAAAGAACTCTTTCTCACAAAGATCTTACTATAAGACAGACTCAGGAAAGCTGGACATATTAAGAATTTTAAAAATAATTTTCAAAAAGACAAGTAAAATCTCATTAATAAATTCTGCAGTGTTTATGGAAAGGCAGCAATAAAACTCGCCACAGTATCAGTGACCTCAGCACATCAACCTCTCCGGCTCTATTTGGTTTTCTGTCCTACAAGGCTCCTTAGGAGATCACACCGCTGTCTGCTCCAGAAGTACATCAATCACAGCCACATTCACGCTCAACAACCTGGGATGCCTGCCCAATGAAACACGGAGCTTCCACTACTCCCTTCTCCCCCAAAACTCAAGGATCTGATGGAAGGGTTGGCTGGAACCCTTCTCCTTCCCTTGTGTGCTAACTATTGTTGCTCAATATTTGGGGGAAAGCTTTTCATCAAGGTGGTGGTCCCTCTGAGGTATATGTGGCTTCCGTGAGATAAATGCTCAAACGCTCCCTGCAGAGGAGGACAGCCCAAAGCCTTGGAACCCTGTACCATTTGGGAGACTCGGAGAAGGTTCCAGGCTCCTGGCTTCAGATCAGCTCAGCTCCGGCCATTGCAGCCAGTTTGGGAGTAACTCACTGGATGGAAGATCTTCCTTTCTGTATATCTGACTTTTCAATAAAAATAAATAGCCTTTAAAAGAAAACAAAACACCTTCTTTTTGGATGGGGTTTTACCTATAAATCAGTCCACACAGTACACAATCTTACCTCAGTGAACTTGTTGAGAGTAGCATTGGTAGGATTATGAGTTATCAGAAAACGCATGTTTTCATAGGAGATCTCCACAGGGGCTGGACGGTTCATTATGGCAAATAAAAAGTGTGAGCGTGCGTGTGTGTGAGTGTGATGGGAAAAATGAAAAAAAAAAAAAATTCAGTAAATCTTGAAATGTTTCACAGCAGAAAACATTAAAAAGACCACTACAATGCCTACTATCAGTGTTTCCTCTATTCAACTTGTTTCTTATGAAGCTTCTCTCTTCAAGGTAAGAATCCAGATTCAACTTGGGCCTCAATGTCTGCAGATGGATACCTTCCAACTCCAAAAAAAAAAAAAAAAAAGAAAAGAAAAGAAAAGAAAAGAAAGAAAAAGAAAAAAAAATCAACTACATATAAAACGCCAGCAGCCTTTTCTACATTTAGGCACTAATGAGACAAGCTAAGAGTGGGTTGTTTTCCACTTTTGTTTACTTGATGTTTAATTTTACTGGAGTCATTAAAAGAAATATGCTTGCAATTAAAAAAAAAAATGCAACTCTTCTGAGGCCAGTCTTGATGTTCAGAGTCTTCAAGGCAACGTTAACTATGGCACATGGAGCCCCCAAGCTCACTTGTCAGCGCAAACGCTGTGCTGAGCCTGGCAGAAGTCTGCCCTCACGCTCAGAATCGCCATAAATGGGCAACGTGTATTCCAACGAAAACCCTAGGAGAGAAAAGCACAAGATGAATTTGAGGCTGCCAGCACAGTAAACACAATGCCTGAGTGAGAGAGATGTTCCTCAAGAACCCAAAGACACAAACTGTCACCAAGCCTAAATGATTGCAAATTACAAATAATTCTGTAAAGACTCAAAAATATGTCCTCTTTTTCCCCCATCAAAATGCCTCAAGTTTCTTTGCTAATAAGATTGTTTCTAATTCAAATAATTCCTAAATGACTTTAAATCCATTTAAATTATTTTTAAGTGATTAAAAGTCACTTAATGAAAATTTCCCTCTATGGACTCTTGTATAAAGTTCACAAGAACCTTATTTTTCTGCTTTGATGACTAGGTCAGCTACATATTTCCCCATCTATATACACATGATTTGCTTAAAATGAGGGATGTCTATAAATGGATGGAAGATATATACCAAAATTCAAGTTTGGAGTTCATTTTCTCTATTGAAACTATATGCAGGGCCCACCATAATAACATAGTGGCTAAATCCTCGTCTTGCATCTGCCAGGATCACATTTGGGCACCAGTTCATGTCCTGGCCACTCCACTTACCATCCAGCTTGCTGCTTGTGGCCTGGAAAGGCAATGGTGGCTGGCCCAAAGCCTTGGGACAGTGTACCCACATGGGAGACCTGGAAGAAGCTCCTAGCTCCTGGGTTTGGACTGGCTCAGCTCCAGCCATTGTGCCCGTTTGGGGGGTGAGCTAGTGGACGGAAGACCTTTCTTTCTCTTTCTCCTCTCTGTATATCTGCCTTTTCAGTAAAATAAATAATCCTTAAAACAAAACAAAACAAAACTGGGCCTGGCACAGCAGCATAATAGCTGAAGTCCTGCCTTGCATACACCATGAAGATCCCATACAGGCACGAGTTTGTATCCCGATGTTTCATTTCCCTTCCAGCCCCTGCCAGTGGCCTGCGAAAGCTGTCAAGGACAGCCCAAAGCCTTAGGACCCTGCACCTGCATTGGAGACCTGGAGGAAACTCCTAGCTGATGACTCAGCTTTGGCCATTGTGGCCACTTAGGAGTGAACCAGCAGGCAAAAGATTTTTCTGTCTCTCCTTCTCTTCGCAAATCTGACTTTCCCATTAAAATAAATAAATCTAAAAAGAAACTATATGCAGTTGCTCACAATGATACTAACACATAAAGCAGTTCCAAAAAACTACATCCTTTTTCTTACAACTCTTTAGTCATCGGCACACAAGGAAGCAAAACCAGAGAACTTGTATAAGGTCAGACAATAAATTAGCTGAACTACACACTCAAGTGTCCTCCCGGATCCATATTTCTTCCAATGTGCTACAATGCCTGTGATTCAACACATAATCCCACCCTCTTCTCTAGTCCAGTTTACTTTTTACCATGTTTCACATCACTGCCTCAAGAGCACAAAATGATCTGAAGATCCCTGACCCTCACAGCATTCTCCTCCCTAAATATAAATCCTTACCCCCAAAGAGAGAAGCTGCAGAATTGTTCTGCTACTTGAAGTATGGGAGGGGTAGGCATCTGATCTAGAAGGCTCACATCCCCTAGCGTCACTCACTGGCTGGCTGTGCTTCCCAGTCCCCATCTCCTGAGCCCGCACACCCTGGCTGGCTGGCACACCCTGGCTCGCTGGCAGTGCACAGCTCAAAGCAGCTGGCTCCCTGCCACCCCCACAGGAGAATGACCTGGACTGCATTCCAGGCTCCTGGCTTTAGCCTGGCTCAGCCTTGGCTGCTGCAAGCACTTGAGGAGTGAACAGAGACAGAGAAATCTGTCTCCATTTCTCTTTCAAACAAAATTTTAAAATATATACAAAGTTTTTTTTTAAAGAAACACTCTTTATAGTTGGTTCAGTGAAACATCAATGTAATAATAAATTCCTCTGTAAACACAAAGTTTACGTTGTTCATTCGTCTCCTCTTAAGCCACCAAAAAGTATTTATAAGTCTCTAATAAAGCAGATATGACCAGATAGAAAGACATCAAAGGTAGACTACACAACCATTTTCATGAATAGAAATACAGATAATTTAGGCTTAACACATCTAAACCTTATTTTCAAGTCTATTTATATTCTTATAGTATTTTAGTTTAATAACTTCACTCCTGATACTATCATAGGCCTGTGTCACAAGAAAATGCGTAAAACATGAAAGCCACATGTAATATCCTAAAACGCATTTTAAGAACTTCATTATTAACTCAATAGAAGTTACCCACTACTGTAAAACAAACTTCTCCCCTTCAAGAGATAGGTGTTGTGGTACAAGACACGACACTACCCAATAGATCCAGGTCTTCCAGTGCCCAAAAATAACACCTGTAGCCAATTTGGGAGTGTGGGCTGCAGTCTCAGCTAGTCTACTTCGTATGTGATTTTCTGCTAATGCTCCTGGGAAGCCAGTGGAAGATGGTCCAAGTACCTGGATTCCTCACACCCAGAGACCTGGACCAAGTCCCTGACTCCTGGCTCTGGAATGCCAGCCCTGGTTGTTGTCAACACTTAGTGACTGACCCAGCTCAGAGAAGGTCCATCTCTCCCTTTTTGTCAGTTTGCCTTTCAAGTAAATACATCTTTTTTCTTAATGTCTACATTCAAAGCTAAGGGAAAAAACATATCACCACTTTCCTTAAAATTACATAATACTGAAACAGTCACCTGAGATTATACAAGAAAATATTTCAGAATACTTTATAAAGGTAAGGAATTTTAGAGCTAAGAGAAAGAGATAAACTATTCTAACTTGTTTAAAAACTGAAGATGTTTTGGACTCAGTAAGATTAAAAAAAACTATACTAAGACCACACTGTAGATTAATAGCAGATCAAGGACAAGAACTCAGATCCCCCGACTCCTCACTTACTTTCCCTTCAATTCTGAAGGTACCTACATATTTTGCAGGGTACAATCTTCTTCCATGGAAGTTTAACTTTCTTCCAATAATCGGCCTGCTCACTGTTACTGTGTGACCTTATTTCAGGGGAAGGGTGGATTATTAAAGCACTCAAAGAACAATGGTTTTCACGCAACGCAGAGCCAAACACAAGGAAACTCTAACCTGTCTGAATCCCTTCAGTTTCAGAATGTTATTACAGCTAATGGGTGTCAGCTGAGTAAAAGTACTGAAATGCCCGCACTGCACTGCCAGTCAGACTTAATAGGTTACAGCTCCAGCATTAACATTTTTGTTCCCGAACCTAGTCTCCAGCGCCTGTCTGCTCGGGAAACAAAGTAGGCTTTCCCCTCATTTTGGAAGGACAATTTACAGGAATAAAGATAATTCATGATCATTTTTTAAAAAAGATTAATTTATTTTCGTTGGTAAGGCAGATCTAACAGAGACAAAAAGATCTTCCATCTGCTGATTCACTCTCCAAATGGTCCCAACAGCCATTACTGAACCAAGACAATACCATGAGGCTGGAACTCCATCTGGGTATCCCATGTGGGTGGCCAGCCCAAACACATGAGCCGTCCTCTATTGCTTTCCCATGCATACTAGCAGGGAGCTAGAGCAGAGGCTGAGCAGACAGGTTCCAACCTGGTACTCTAACATGGGATGCCAGGACTATAAGCATCAGCTTAACCCACTTCACCACAATACCAACCACAGCAACTGTACTTCTAAATTCAAATATTAAGTACAGCACATTCAAAAGAATGAATTTGATAAAAGCAGTTCCATTTAACTTAACCAAGTCTTACTGGGCATTTTCTTAAAAAGTCTATCAATCCACTTAACTTTCCACTGAAAAATCAACTCTATATAGTTCCAAACTAAGCTGAATGGTATAATACATCATCTAACATGAAGTGATATGTCAGTATTACATTAAAACAGCACATAGTAATGTAAACACACAATAAAAGAATTCTAGATACAAGGAGAGAAAGCCGAACAGTCAAGGGCTGGAAACAAGGAAGCATGCATTCACTGTGTTACTTTTATGACAAGCTATCCTACAGGAAATGATGCAAATTGGAATAAGCACAGTTTCTACAATCGGGCAACATGAAAGCATAATATGTACTATATGGCATACGATGATTTTTTTAAAGATCTATTTTTATTTGAAAGCCAGAGTTACAGAAACAAAAGGAGACAAAGAGAAATCTTCCATCCACTGGTTCACTTCCTAAATGGCCACAATGCTTGAAGCCACACTAGTCTGAGATCAGGAGCCTAGAGTTTCTTCCAGGTCTCCCATGTGGGAACAAGGGCCCAAGCACTTAAGGCTTCTTTCACTGCTTTCCCAGAGTACACTAGCAAGGAGCTGGATCAGAAACAGAGCTACTGGGACTTAAATCAATGCCCATATCGAATGCCAACACCAGAGGCTTAATCTACTATACCACAGCACTGGCCTCAGAAGACCGACTTTTCATTAAAAACAAAAACGTTTTTTACATCAATAGAGACAGTTGAATCCTCATTAAAGGACAAATGATGTTTCCTACCAACAATAAAGAGCTAGGAATTGCCCTTGTAAATATCTACTAACAGACTGGTGCTGTAGGCTAGCATCTAAGGTCCGTGCCTTGCACATGCCAGGATCCCAGACAGATGATGGGCACTGGTTCTAACCCCGGCATCCCTGCTTCTCATCCAGCTCCCTGCTTGCGATCTGGGAAAGCAGTGGAGGATGGCCCAAAGCCTTGGGACCCTGCACTTGTGCAAGAGACCTGGAAAAGGCCGCTGACTTCCTGGTTTTAAATTGGCTCACCTATAGCCATTACAGCCATCTAGGGAAATGGCAATATTTCTCTCTGTCTCTCCTTCTCTATAAATCTGCCTTTCCAATGAAAAAAGATAAATCTTAAAAACTAAAACAAAAGTCCTGAAGCAGATACGGCAACGCAGCAGGTTACAGCACCGGTTCTAGGCCCTGGGCGCTCTGCTTCCCTTCCAGCTCCCTATTCATATGCCTGGGGAAGCAACAGATAAACCATGTGCACAGTACCTGCCAACCCTGTGGGAAGTGGATGGAA